CCCAAGACCAGCTCAGTTGGCCATACCCAAGCAAATACAGAACAAATCCTTTCTTTTTGGCAACTCCAGAGTAAATCTGCTTTCTGGGGGGGGTTTTTGGACCTCGCAAGACCAGAAACTCATGAGCATCCCACCCCAGGCATCCTGGCTGGGCCGGGAGCCGTGCCGAGGCTGCTCCTGGACCAGGTTATCTGCCGGTTCTGCGCACCGAATCCCAACATACGGCGGCACAGCGGGAGCGACCGATGAGACCTTTTTTTTTTTTTCCTTATCCATCTCTAAGAATAAATTCAGCAGCTCCACCACCAAAATCTGAACCTTTTTTTTTTTTTTTTGCCTTATCCATCTCTAAGAACAAATTCAGCAGCTCCACCACCGAAAAGCCAGGCTTCACTGGGGCTGAAGGTGTCACCCATGGGGTCACCATGCCACAAGAAGCCTTGTGTGACTGGGGGTCCTTCCCAAGACCAGCTCAGTTGGCCATACCCAAGCAAATACAGAACAAATCCTTTCTTTTTGGCAACTCCAGAGTAAATCTGCTTTCTGGGGGGGGTTTTTGGACCTCGCAAGACCAGAAACTCATGAGCATCCCACCCCAGGCATCCTGGCTGGGCCGGGAGCCGTGCCGAGGCTGCTCCTGGACCAGGTTATCTGCCGGTTCTGCGCACCGAATCCCAACATACGGCGGCACAGCGGGAGCGACCGATGAGCAAACGCAGGAAGGACGGGGGGAAGGAAGTCCCTCGGAGGCCGGTGGAGGTAGAAGTTGCCTGCGATGCCTTTAGGAAGTGTTTCAAGGGCAACCCTGTTTGAGTTCGTAGGCGGCGTAATGAACAGCTCGATATTATTTGATTTATTCTATTAAGGTGCTGGATTTATACTCCCGCTTTTGGAAGGAAATTAAGCAGCCTATCAACGGAGAGGGCTTTTTGGGAAAGGACTTGGTGGCTTCATCTTAAAAAAGGACGCTGGCAAGGTTGGGAGCTCTAGGAGGGAGATGAGATGACCCCTCCGCCGGCTCCATCAGATCTCTGTACACTGCTCATCGCCCCTTCCATAAACCAAAGGTTATCACCCACCCAAAACTGAGGCTTTTAATTAAAAGACCTTTCTGGAGCCTGCAGATCCTGGCATTGCAGAGGCGATGGATGCCGAGTCTCTGCCTCTCCTCGGGACAGAGGTGGCCCCAACCTCCACAGCACTTGCAGGGTGGGCATCAAGTATTACATCATTTTAGAGAGAAGGAAGAAAACAAGTGGTTTGTGCATCAGCGCAGCTTTTCCAGTATTTCTGCTCATTTTTGTACTCTCCTGTATGACCAAGATGCCTTATTTTTTCATTTGCAGTCATGCACCCAGTGGCAACCAAGCCTCCTCCCTGTCCTGCAGCCTCTTGACTCCATCACAACTCTACCATGCTGCCCTGATGGCTTCTTCTAACGGGCTTTACACCACCTCTGCTAACCCTACAACTCAGAGAGATGCTTGGTGAGCAGCAAAGCAGTCCAGCTCCCCTCCATCAGGTTTTGACCAAAGCAGCACCAAATTAAACCAACCTTGGGTGAGCTCACCTCCACGTGATGGATGGACATCAGCTCCATCTCATGGCACAGAATCACAGAATCTTCTAGGTTGGAAGGGACCTTAAAGATCATCTTGTCCAACCATCAAACCCAACTTTGACAAAAATAGACACCCACACAACAAACAAAAAGCAACACCATCACTAAACCATACCTCCCAGCACTACGTCAACCTGTCTTTTGAACACCTCCAGGGATGGTGCCTCAACCACCTCCCTGGGAAGCCCATTAAATGTCTGGTAACTCTTTCAGTGAAAAAATTTTTCCTAATATCCAGCCTGAATTTTTTCTTAACCCTTTCGGTAAAAATTTTTTTCCTAATATCCAGCACAGCAGAGGACCCATGCCAGGAGAAGACCTCCAGCATTCATGTATTGAGCATGGCACCATTCTGAAGGTAAAGGGGAGGGAGGTCCACACGGATGGACTGCTGCCCCACGGAGCCCCAGGCAGGATGTTAAGAGAGATCTTCTCCTTGCTGACCTCCAGGAGATGTTGGTGGCCCTTCGTCCTCCTTCCCCAGCAAGTGACCGCGGGCAGGCACGGTTCAGGCCTCCAACACTCCAACCACCCAACTCGAAAAATTTGAAAAAAACTTTTGCGGGACGGACAAAGGCTGAAAAATTAACTGTCTGGCCTCTTCCTCCACTGCGTTTATTGCTGTCTTGGCAGATGAATTTCAGGTTGCTGCCACAGCCGCAAACCGCTTCTTCTGCCAACTGTACATTACTAACATTGGAAGGTGGCCAGACCTAGGAATCTTTTTTCTAAAAGCATTTGCTTCATACTTTAAATAGCAGCCCAGCAGGCAGGGGGATGGGAGGGAGGGCTCAGCCCCTGCGTGCGATCCATCTGCGAGCTTCTGCCGGCTCCTCCACCCCTCCGCGGGTTAAAACTGAGGACGATCCACGTGCAGCGAGGGGAAAGCTGGTGGGATGTGACCTCTAAACCCTCTGGGGATGGCAGCGGGGAGGATGTCCCCCCCCAGGACGTCCCCGCTCCCCTGCCACTGCCACCTGCCCCTTCCCAAACTCCCCGGCTCCACGCCTGGCACATTATTAATTAAATTAATAGCAGGATGTTGGCTGGTTTTTTCATTGAAATCCGCTCTGCTACAAGGTTTAGCATCATTTTCCCCCGTGCTTTAGAGTTTTTCTTATTATTGGGCTGAAGGGTGTCTTCGCTGGTTTTTTCATTGAAATCCGCTCTGCTATGAGGTTTAGCATCATTTTCCCCCATGCTTTAGATTTTTTCTTATTATTGGGCGTCTTTGGCTGGGATTTCCATGATTCTGTGATTTGCTGGGACTTCCTGAGCCCCCAGCAGCAACATCACTGGGAAGTTCCAAAATCAGGTCCCCAGCTGGAAATCCCGAGGGAGCAGGAGCAGGAGCAGGAGCAGACGTCACCGCTCGCAGCACTTCAGCAATGAACCCACCTCCTCAACAGTTAGCAAATATTAATCAGGTTTATGGCTGAGAAACAGGGGAGGAGGAAGGACACGGGCAGGGAAACACAACGTCTCGCGCCCGATGTAACTACAAGGACAAAAAAAATTGTCCCCAGCCACAAATATTCCGACGTTTTGGCCGTATTTCTCTGACCTCCTCACATAAAATGTTCATACAGTAAACTAAGAACACACACAGGGGAAGTTTCTTTGCTTCCATAACTCGGCGCCGCGCTAGATAAGCCGGCAATACAGAGCAAAGCTCAAGGCATAATATTTTTAAGTAGTGCTTGTCCTAGTTAATGTTCAGCCCCGCTGTGCAATGTCAAGAAAACTAATGAAGAGTGAAGTGGCAGCGAGCAGGAACCCGGGCGGACTCACCCGCTACCAAACTCCTTTCAGAGCCCGGGCACAACGTGAAGGAAATCTAAAAGCAGTTGTCCTGGTTCACCGGGAAGCCCTGGCAACGTGAGGGGAATGCTTTGCCACCACACTTGTCCCAAAATGCGGTGTCTAAAGTAAGAGCGAGGTGGAAGGACGCCACCACACTTGTCCCAAAATGCGGTGTCTGAAGTAAGAGCGAGGTGGAAGGACTTGTGAGAGGACAAGGGGTGGTGGCTTTAAACCAAAAGAGGGGAAACTCAGACTAGATATAAGGGAGAAGTTTTTCACTGAGGGTGGTAAAACCCTTGGCCCAGGTGGCCCAGAGAGACGGTCGTTGCCCCATCCCTGGAACCATTCCAGGTCAGGTTGGACGGGGCTTCAAGCAACCTGGTCTAGTTGAAGATAGAATCATAGAATGGTTTGGGTTGGAAGGGACCTCAAAGATCATCGAGTTCCAACCCCCCTGCTCTGGGCAGGGACACCTCCCACTAGAGCAGGTTGCTCAAGGCCCCATCCAGTGTCACTGGATGTCCCTGCCCATGGCCACTAGGTGATCTTTGAAGGTCCCTTCCCACCCAAACCATTCTGGGATTCTAAGGAGTGCCTGTACATGTGGATCCACGTCCCAGCCTTGGGGTTTGGGAAAAAGTCAACATCTTTTAACAGGGAACAGGGCTCCACTCGCAGCCTATGGTGGGAGCTTTGGCAAAGGCAACGCTCGACGGATGACGCGCTCTCAGCACTGACACTGAGTGGGATTCACCTTGGGCACCAATGACAGACTCTTGGCACCAAGGACAAAGTGTCTGCACGAAGGACAAAGTACTTGAGCCCAGGAGATGGGCAGCCCTTAGCTCCATGATGTAGAGCAAGCCAGAGCCCACCTGCAGCAGCTCCAGGAGGGATGCTGGGGTTGGAAGGACCTGAACGAGTCCCACTCCCTCCTCAGGACACCTCGCCCCTTCTCCTGTGCATTGCTTCAGCCCTTTGGACTTCAACATTTCAGTCTATGAGTTGACACTCTGGGTTAATTTTAACTTTTATATGGTTTCTCAAGCGTCTCTTCTCTATTCACCAGTTACAGAGCCATATTCACGGGCGGGAGGTGGATTAATGCCCCTCTGATCTGGCAGGAGAACAGATCTGACAAGGGTACATGGTTCTTCTCCAGGTCCTGCACAGCGTGTGGCCAAGATACCTGTCCTTCACCTCACCCAGCCATAAAATGGGGTTTCTGCACACAGTTAATAGCACAATTGCTGATAAGCGCTTAATGAGCCCGATCCCAAAAGCTTAACGAGCCCTTCTGATTATTTTAATCTACGGAGTCATTTCAGGATGAATCACAAACACGGAGTAAAGTGCCACCTTGCACCAGAACCAAGGCTGGTGTCTTAAATGAGCCAAGAAACGAGGGCAACGCACACCCTTTGTATTAATGCCTTCATCAAATTGCCAGTGGAATGATTAAGTCACGACTCTTCACGAATTCGGTCATGATTATCTGCTGCAATTTAGTGTCTGGAGGGGCACCAGGAGAAAGCTCTTACTCCGAGGCTTCCCCACCAGGAGGCTTCCCCCTTACCTTGCTCCAACCTCTTCATCTGCTGGATCTGATCAACCGTCTTTTTTAGGATCTTGCATTTGTCAGGTTTGACGCTCAGCGTGTCGATGTCCCCGATGTTTGCAGACAGCAGCTCTGCCAGCTCCTCCAAATACTTGTTCTCCTGCTCCCGTCGCCGCTTTTCATTGCTGTTAAAAAAGGGGAAGAAATTAAAAGTCGGGTTAATAGCTTTTTCCCACTGCTCAGTGTAGTCACACCTGGGTACTGGACAAGAGTGAAAAAAAATACAAATACTTGCTGGAGTGATGGCTGTGCTATAACCCAAATTTCTCCTTTGCCTATACTTTTTTTAGGATCTTGCATTTGTCAGGTTTGACGCTCAGCGTGTCGATGTCCCCGATGTTTGCAGACAGCAGCTCTGCCAGCTCCTCCAAATACTTGTTCTCCTGCTCCCGTCGCCGCTTTTCATTGCTGTTAGAGAAGGGGAAGAAATTAAAAGTCAGGTTAATGGCTTTTTCCCACTGCTCTGTGCAGTCACACCTGGGCACTGGACAAGAATCAAAAAAATACAAGTACTTGCTGGAGTGATGACTGTGCTACAACCCAAATATCTCCAAAATACTGGGGAGTTCATTTGCCTATTTTTATGCATATAATCAAATTTAATCAAATCAAATGCATATAATCAAAATTAAGATGCACAGGGCTAGCCAGACACCCCAACAACAACCAGATCTCTAACACTCAGGACTCTCCCTTCCTCTCAAAAGTAGTTATAAACGAGCTATATCAAAAATAATCAAAAATAGTTCTATACAGCCCCTTATTTTTGTACAGCCACTATTCCGGCTGTCGCCAAGTTTAATCCCAAATTCCTACATAAAAGGTAACAACATCCGCCGGAGTTCACCAAAGTGAAAACTGGAATCAACGATGACATGAGGAAAATGAAAAATATTCATGAGATCAACCTTTTTGTCCCAGCAAAAGCAGCTTTCCTTTTAGCTCCCAGATGCTGCAGAAGCTCAACGCTTCCCCATCAAGTATTTGTAAATTCTGGGAACTGAGAATACTTGTGTGCTGTAACGTGGCCATTATTGAAGCCACCCTGGACACTGTAATATACTCCTTTCCCAAAGATGCTACAAGCATCAAAGCCACCAAAATTCTGGGCATGTGGCAGAGACACACAGAGACCCACTTTCCCTAAATACCTCCCTCTACAGCGACCACAGGATGGAATGGGGACACCTCAAATTGCCCAACGTGGCCCTACACCGCTTGCGATGCCTTTTAGCAGGTTGGTTTCCAATAAACCACCTTATTTTTTGTTGCAGTCTCCACAGGATGCCTAGAACCCAATTCAAGAAGTACTGCCTGAAAACCCCTAACATTTACTGGACACCAAGAAGCTGCTGAGATGCCTGTGGGCACGGTGAGATGTTCCTGGC